TTGTCGACATACTGGGCCTGAAAACAAGCACAAATATTGCGTGTATCGTCGGTGCTTATGTCGAATATTAACTACTCACAGTCTACATCATTTAGAAAACCTTTTTTTATATAAAAACCATTTCTTTTTGCTTCATTGTATTCTTTTTCTAACTCAAGTTTTTTGTATGTCACATAACTGGCTAAACAGCTCATGTGATAATAATGATAACATTGTGTACGAATTATTTGTTTACGATCATGCATCGGTGACAAACAAATTGAACAACCTTCACTAGGCATATCAAACTGACACAAATGACCGCGTATTAATTCAATACATTCATATATTACACAATTATTCTCATTCATTTTTAAACAATTATTAATTATCTCATATAGTTTATCAATTTGTTGATCAGTCAAACCCCTTGGTTTGGAAAGTGTCACTGTGGGGGATTCAATGGGATAACCAGATGGTAAACTGAATGTTACTGTTACGCACAGCAAACGTTTTTCATTATCAACATCGTTTTCATCCCCATTTGAATGAATTGTTAGACGAATAGAGACTGGATGATTGTCATTATCGAATGTGACATCAAGATCATCGAAAAATATTGATTGAAGTACAGATACTTCTTCATCGGCCATTGAAAAATATAAAATACAAATCTAATTCATAATTCTGCAAAGAAAAATTTCTGAAATCGTTAACAAAACAATAAGCGTATCGAGTACAGAAAGAGAGTTGTCAAATTTCCTTCATTATTCACTACTGAGTAGCATATCTTTTATTTATCAAGTGGAATAAGCAGAGAGTGACTCGCTTAAAGACTTTAGAAATAAGCGACTATATAAACGAGATATAGAAAAAACGATAACCGTTGAAATTGAAAACGAAGAATCGACAATCTGTCTGCGTTCCATCTATTCTATTTCACCTTGACGAATGTACTCCGGACAGCCAACTACAAAAATTTGAATTCGACTCTCACAACTTCTCTAACTATTAATAGTGTCTAAAATATTTTCAATAACATAACAATCATAAATACAGAAAGAAATGCACCATCCGTTAAAACATAAATAGTACATGCTCATGTTAAATGCCTTTCATTATAGATTATAGAATACTATGACTGATTTTAGTTAATTTAGAATAAAACTAGTAAAATGTGACTGTCTGTCGTTTCTTACTTATCCTCACGCTTCCCAGAGCCGTTTTAAGAAATTTATGGCCCCTGTGCTGATCATTAACGTTTTCAACATATCAATTTGTAAATTTTTTAATAACAACAAAATGCAAGGCTTAAGCCGTTCGATTGGATCCCTGAGTCAGCCGGGCCCCTGTGCTATAGCACAATTAGCACATAGGATAAGAAGGCACTGACGCTTCCTGTTAACATCTAATTGAAAATGAAGCAACACATAAAGTTACAGACACTTCTTAAAAATTCACACAGCAAAATGTAAAAATCGACAAAAGATCTTCAACTTGGATGTCGCTTAGGAGATGTGGTGCCTTCTCCTTCTGCTATAACTTCCCCTAAGACTAGGACTAATTTATTCATAAAAAGTAAGTGTCATTTAAAAGGTCCTCGACCTGTAATAACAATGACTCGAGCCAAACTACAAAAATGAAATTGAAAAAAAAAAGAAAATGAACCAAAAATAAACAAAAGAAAAACGAAGATAGAATGAGATCAAATAACGATGAAGTTAAACACAAATAAAATCTCTTTAAGAGAACAACTAACACGAGTTTATTATAACTAGAAACATGGCTTAATTTTACTGAGACTAGACTAAGACTGTTTTATTCACGAAAAATGAGTCATCAAAGATCACTGACCTGCAATAACAATGACTCAAGCCAGACAACACCAGAAGAGCCATAAAAAGAACAAAATAAACAAGACAACTAAGGTTAGAACCAGAAGTAGTCAAAAATTTTTGTTTTTAAAAATAAGCAAAAAAGAACAAATATAAATTTATAATCCCATATTTACTGCACAATTTTTGGCCCACGTTATTTGTTGAAAATAACAATGAATTACAAATTTTAACGTTAGATTGTCAAGCATTTGTTATTTGGAAACAAAAGGATTTAGTTGCCCACCAAGGCAACAAATTATTGTTCAACAAGCGTTAAACTATCTGTTGTATATTAAGGAGAACGAGCAATGACAGACAACTGAGAAAAGCAGAAATAGAAGTCATGTCATGATTATAATCTTGAGATATTTATAGAGCACTGAGCATATTACAGATGTTTCTTCTCTTGTTCGTTATACAGGCAAAAGTAATGCCGATAAAATTATATCTTTCCTAATTCATAAATCGATATATGAAATACATTTGTCTTGTAATGGATTTAGTCGAAAATATGAAAAGTAAGACTGTAGTATTGTTTTTCTGCTACAAAAAAATAAGAGTAGAGACATAGAATGATCGAAGTTAAAATGAACAAAAAATATCATTCCTACATGTTTGTTGGTACTGTCTTATCTCTCAATTCTCGCTGAACGCATAATTCTTCGTTGCTGTTTATTCAGTTATATATATATATAATCGATTGAAAAGACTTAATGAAGAATATACCCAATATAGATTAAGTAAACATTAAGCAAGAAAACACAATCTAAGAGAAGAATAGTACCATGTAAGCTAAATATAGCTTAGTCAATACAAAATCCATATGCAAGAGGAGGATTATTCAAAATCTGAGCAAAATTAGTAACATAGAAGAGGAAAAACCAAGAGATCTGTGTAAGTCACGAACGTGCACGATAGGAATAAGGTGCCTGAGTCAAACAAAATTTCACTGTTGTTGTTGCTGTGTTAATATAAGGAAAAAAACCTACGATCTATATGACTGGATCATTGCGCAACAATGAATCAGTATGCCAATAGAAAGATGATAAGTGAAATAACACACTTATGCAAAATGCAATTCCTTGTCTGTCGATTAGATAAAATGTTAGTTACTGTTTTTCCAAAAGAGACTTTTGCTTTAGTCACAAACTTATCACTATTGATAGCCACATGATTTGTTTTCTCATTTAAAACTTTTGATGAAAGTTTCTTTTCAACGTGTTGTGTTGGTTTAGTCAAGGACTAATCAAAATTTTATAGTTCCACACAATGCCCGTAAAAAAAATGGCCATGATGACAGGAAAAAAAGATATTTTATTTAACATCTGCTATTAACATCTGCTATAGAGAATAAAAGAAAAAAAATCATTCCTGTTCTGGATGTTGTCGAAAAAAAAAATAATTTCTTTTGCTTTTTCTTTTAAAATAGGTCTTTTGTCTCAAAAGTCATTGATCTATCACCTTCTCAGGTTCAATGGCCTTGAAAATTAATTCAGCTGTATTTTGTTTAACGTAATCATGTTTTTGTTTTTGAAGATGACTAACAATATGATTGATTTCAACAATGTTTGATTAATTTATGGCCAGTGAAAATCCCAATAATATGTCAACCGCACAGTCAACGAATGCAACGGATTGGTCGTCACATTGGCCAAATGATGATCACAACCGTGTGGAATTAGATACAAATAGTTTACTACATTTGATAGCGAGTGATGATGAAGGAAATCAACATAACGTCAGTAGTGGACAGGCGGTACAAACAAACGATGGTAATGGTCAAGTTGATATGCAAAATTCATCCGATAATAATCAACAACATCCAACATCATTGCCGTTAGCTGGACAAATGCAAAACGCTGTGGCGTCTTCATCATCATCAATGGACACCGAACAAATGAAACAACATCATCCCGAAACAGATGGTACAAATGATATGTTAACTTTGATACCTATACCACAAGCATGGTCACATATTAGACATCAATCTGGTCTATTTTCATATCCTGACTTACCACATTTTAATATTATTAGACAAGCGACATTTCGAGATGGACGATTTGTCTGTCCATTTTGTAGTGTTGATTTTGCTTCTAAAGAAGGAATACGTTATCATTTATATAATTCATGTACAAAGTCTCCATATCCGAAAGCATTTTTTCGTTGTTTAATGTGTGGAAGGTAAGCGACTTTATTTGAGTCATGAATGAGATTAACCGCTTTATAAATGTTTCGTTCTACTTTCTGCTATGAAACGGCTCTAGATGCATAATTCGCATTTAAGTTTATTTTTACTTTCAAACGAAGAACTGAATTTTTTGTAAGCTTAGCTGAGAAATTGAGCGAGAAAAAGATGTTCGGCACACGCTTTGCATTTGAGCTTTTGATAAGTTTAGTCAGCTGAATATCCTACCATTAAGATAGCATGTGATTGTACACTAGCTTTTATTCACTATTCTCTAACTGTTTACTTTGTTTATCTTTTTTAAGCGAATTAGCCGATCGAAGTTCACTACGCACACATTTGGCTCGTCATGTACGTTGACCTAAATTTAATCATACGTTAACTTGTTTATACATTAGTTTCACATTCCTTTTCATTGCAGGGAGGAGATGATGGTGGAGCCGCTTCTTCTGATGCATTGGCTAATGAACGCAAGAAAAAGACAAAAAAAAAGAAGAAAGGCGCAGATGGAAATCCAAATATGAACGCTGTCGTTGGGGCCGGTGTGGGAGTTGGAGGTTTGGCAACGGTCTCTTCGCCGAGAGGCGGTGTAGGCTATATGCAAAATGATCCACATCATGGGACGTCCCTCGCGTCATTGCCAATCATTAAATCAGAACCAATGGATAACGAACCGAAAGTGGTAAGAACAGTTTTGCCAAAAAGATGGATAGAAACCGATTAATTTGTTGCCTTATTAATTCAAAAATAGAGAAAACGAGGTCGTCCACCAAAAATGAAAACAAATGATGGCACATCGATACAGCAAAATTTTAAAGCACCCACATCATCAGCATCAACACCGAATAATCCAATAATGTCTGAAACACAATTAAAAGTAAGTTTTTCAGCTTATTTTTAAACCGATAAATGTGTTTCAAGGCAGTAATGTAGTGGGGGTAGAGTCTATCTCTTACAACGGTTGTTACACGTAGCATCAGGCTTCTAGTGTGAGGCTACCGTAGTTTAGCGAAAGCAGTAATAGTGAATGAGATTATTTTCATATTGTGTTTCGTTTAAGACCGATCAAAAATCCCTTGTACGCTCTCCAAGAGGCGTAGATATTTCAAACGAATTAGCTGAATTAGCACGATCACGCATGAGAGAAGTAAGTAGACCTACTATATAATAAATAAAACTGTAGATAAAGACTTTTGATTTTGCATCAGAAAAATAAAATTATTTTCATTTTTATTTTAGCATATTGAGTTTGCAACAGATTCTTTATTACCCGAACAAGAACAAGAAATTAATATACGTTTACGTTCAGAAGGTTTTGTTCATTGTCATCGTTGTCGTGGAAAAGCACAGTTTACAAATCTTAAAAAATTGAAAGAACATTTGAAAACTGATTGTCCATTGGGTCCTGGTAATTCTTAACTTTTCTCATCAGTAAAAAGCTATATTTAATTTCTTGTTTTTCTGCTTAGTTATGGCGATTTGTAAATTTTGTGGTATACCATTTTCATCCGTTAGCAGTGTTTGTGATCATCTTGAACTTTACCATGATGATTCAAATGATGGAGCACAACCTCCAGGTGAGCAGACTAAGACAAACAAGAACGTTGCCAATGAAAATTATAGTTTTCCACAAAGAGCTCTGCGAACTCAAGTATTGTTGAGAGAATTGTTGATTTTAGCAATCTCATCTGTAGATAGATTTCGAGGAGTTGTACAGTTAAATTTAAGACTATGTTCAAACAGTGCACTTTTGATATGAAAATATGTTTAATTGTCTTTAAAGATGATCCTTGTCGTGTTAACGATCGTGCATTTCGTGCTGCATTTGCTCGTTACAAGTTTCCACAAGTTGGTCGCATCCAGTTTTCTGCACCATCAACAACGATAGGTCAACTGATACCAGAAAACGAATCAGCTGCTTGTTTAAGCAACGGTGCAAGTTGTCTTCGTGTGAGGGTATGTAAAACTCCGATTAAGTATAATTAAATGATCGATATTTTTTTTGAAATTTAAAATTTTTTCTCTAGATGCTTTCATGTGATCGATTTTTAAATCCATTGGATAGTTTTGCTGCATCTCATGTTATCGTATTAAATGTTGGAAGACCAATAAGATGTGTCGAGTGGTTGCCTAGAGCTGTTGACGTTATCGGCAGTCAGTATGTTGCATTGGCCCTTGAACAATGGTCATATGATACAGGAGCTCAGCTGCATGGGCACGGTTTTACGGGAGCCAATAGTGCTGGTGGAAACGGAGCACCGAACTCAGATCGTCGCTCACCACCTGGTTCTACATTGTTATTGATTTTAAATTGTGGACGTTTGAGACAAAGTTTACATGTGCCAAACTTACATGTGACTGTGGCGGCCGACTTTGGATTAGTAACATGTCTCAAATGGTTGCCTGATCGTCCAACAATCAATGATCCTTATTTAAGTTATTTAGCTATTGGTACAAGCCAAGGAATTGTATTAATCTTTGGTGTACCGCACGGAGCATCAAGGAATTTATGTACAATCAATAGCGGAGCACAACTAGTGCCACCGTTAAATCGTCGAAAAGATGGAAGTGTTGGATGTGCCGAATATGGTTCGTGTACGGCACTTGATTGGTGTCATGATAATCCAAATAAACTATGTGCCGGCTATGAAAATGGTATTGTTCTTATGTGGGAAGTTAATGCAAAATCATTAGTAGAGCAGGTGAATGATTAATTGAAAAGAGCTTTTCTTCTCATCTATATAATTTTTTTTGGTTTAGGCCAGTAACTGCGCACTCATTTATCCAGTACGACGATTTTTTGTCGAAGATACACCGATACAAGATGTTAAATTTTTGAGGAATTCTGAACATTTAATTGCAATTAGTTTGAAAAACAAACATTCATGGACGTATGTATTTCTAGGTATCGGTCGTGCTTGATAATACACCTTTGATTTTATGATTCTAGTGTGTGGACAACACGTGATGAAAACATATTTTGTTATCGTCATTGGTCGAATTCTAGTGAATTTGCATCATCACCTATCAACGAAACACTATTTGCCGGTTGTGCACATCCAAAGTAAGAAGCTCATCTAGATTTTACAATGATAATCATGTGTTTTTCTCTTAAAGTAATCATAATGAAGTATTATCTGTATCAGTCAATTCAATATTATTACCTGGACAAAATGTTTCTTCCCATTGTCAACATTCAATGCCATCTGCTTGGCAAATCGTTAGTCTTGATTATTCAGAATGGATTGATGCTGTCAGTTATGCTGACTTAGATGGTACGTATAGCATTGAAGTTATCAACTCCGGCGTTGACAGTTTACATTTGAAAACTTGTTAGAGATAAAAAAACGTTCATCCTTCAGCATAGTAATGAATTTTCTAAACTTGGTAATGCAGATAGTCTTTTTAATTTATTTCTGTCAATCATATTCGAATGACTTTGTACTTTTTAGGTACTGTTTATGTGGCTCGTGGCGATTCAACAACATGGAATCAAGGGGGCGCAAAATTCAGACCGAGTGTAGTACGAATCAACATCAAAATATCTTTTATTCATCATCATCATCATCATCATATTCTGTTTTTTATTTTATTCAGTGCGTTGCAAAATTATCAACCTACTTAACGGGAACTGGCGGAGCGACAGCGGGAAATCTAGCTTCCGATCCAGTTGGACTTCAGCGTAGGTGGTCAAGCTGTTTTGATTGATGGTTTTTATATGAATCTTTTTTTATTTATTTAAGAGTATAATCAAGCCCAGTCGGCTGCTTGTGGCGTTCCGACTGGTCAATATTGTGTACAAATAGCTATTGAACGAACGGTAAGTTCAAAAACTATATAAGATTAATTTAACGTCACATACGTAAGATGTAATTTAACGTTCTCCCTGATAAGTACCACTGACACAATCGATTTTGTTATTTATTCAGTTAACGTAAATATCTCTTGGGTTTAGAAACTTATTATTTTCTGTCCTCTCTAATGTTAGAAAGATGTTGGGACTGTTCCTTCCACTTGAATGAACAGTGCTTCATATTAACTATTGTACAGGGTGGCACAGAACCTTTGCCTCCCTTCCTCTAGAACCTAAAGAACAGATAATATCACAATGTATTTATACCAAATTAAAGCGCGTCAAAAACTGGATTTATTGGCACTAAATAGTAAAGGTTATGAAGACGTTTTCATGTGCACTTAAGAAATTTTCAGAAATTTGATACTTTTTTGGTGAAGAAAAGCAAGGTGCCAGTTAATCAAAAATGGAGTAAAACATTTTTCTTGGATATTTTTACATAGTTCGATAGAGCTCGTCAAGCTGTACAAAACTACATATTTCAAAATATTTTGGGCCATCGTTTTGAGATAAAAAGTTCAGAAAAACGACTTGGAAAATCTGAAAAAATGCTCGAAAATTCATTTTTTTCGTATGGATGAAAAACACTCGATTTTTCAATAAAATTAACTTTTGTTCATTGTTTCTGCTGTCTCAGACGTTTCGAAATGTGCTCATTCGGTCTTGTGTGAAAAAACTGCATCTAATGAGCACATTTCGAAACGTCTGAGACAGCAGAAACAATGAACAAAAGTTAATTTTATTGAAAAATCGAGTGTTTTTCATCCATACGAAAAAAATGAATTTTCGAGCATTTTTTCAGATTTTCCAAGTCGTTTTTCTGAACTTTTTATCTCAAAACGATGGCCCAAAATATTTTGAAATATGTAGTTTTGTACAGCTTGACGAGCTCTATCGAACTATGTAAAAATATCCAAGAAAAATGTTTTACTCCATTTTTGATTAACTGGCACCTTGCTTTTCTTCACCAAAAAAGTATCAAATTTCTGAAAATTTCTTAAGTGCGACATGAAAACGTCTTCATAACCTTTACTATTTAGTGCCAATAAATCCAGTTTTTGACGCGCTTTAATTTGGTATAAATACATTGTGATATTATCTGTTCTTTAGGTTCTCGAGGGAGGGAGGCAAAGGTTATGTGGCGCTCTGTAGTTTCTAAAACACACGTCAAAAGTCATACTTAACTTCTGTCTGCTATGTTTAGTTATTTATTTTTCATGTTTCTTGTTTAGGAGTATGCTAGCAGTAATGTAGACACACAACACGATGAAACTCACAAAGTGCATACATACAGAAAAGTAAGCTATTTAGTTGCTTAAGTTAATATTGAATAACCAGTTTTTCGTTGCATAGATTCGTTTTAATCCAAATCCTGGAACACATTCTTGGGTAGCTTCCGCCGATAAAGTTGGTTTGTTTCTTTTATTTCGATTATCAACATCTGATTCACCACTATCAGACAAACTGACGCAACGACTTCAAAGGGTGCAAGTTCTTTAACGACGGCGAAAAAACAGGAATAAAACAATTAAGAATGAATAAAAGGTATGAAATGACTTCTAATTGTCGAAGGTTTGAAATGACTTTTAATAATGATTGTTTATTTTAGTCGTGTTTGATTTTTAAACGTCGACTGCTATACATATATATGCATAAATTTATCCAAGAAATGATAGGACTATCTCGTTGCTCTATTTTATATAACGCGAGGACATTATCTCTTTTCAGAGACCACTTGGTTTTGAAATCTTTTTTTAACTTGCTTTTGATGTCGGATGCAGTGATTTCCGTAGTTCTTGTCTCTCCGTGTGCGTGTGTGCGTGTGTGTGTGTGTTTGTGTGTGTTTACAACTTTTTCTCAACACCCACCCATACTAAAACATGAAAATATACTTAGCTATTTGAATATTGTGTAAAATAAGAAAACCCTATTTCTCTCCGTTGTACATATATTTTGCTGTATTTTTTCGACGTCAAGTATTAGAATTATGTTGTTTCGGTCATTTTTATCTTTTTTTGTTCGTGAAACGTGACATATTATCTCATATTCATCATCATTATTGTTCTTTAGTATATAAATGTTTATTTAAGCTCCCTTACATATATATATATATCCGATATCCAGTCGTACATTCACCATTTTTGTTCTCGATACGACGTTTCTCATTAATACTATGTAGAATGTGTAACACACACATGTATATACATATATATATATATATATTGTGCGTGATTTCTATATACAAAAAAGCCAATAACAACATTATGTAGACGATATAACTCTTTTCTTCTTTTTTTCTTTATATACGGGAACAGTTTTTAGTTTTTTTTTCTTCATTCATTATTCAAAGTCGAAGCAAATGAAATCTTCTCTTTCCTATGCTAAATCGTTCTAATGGACGTTTCTCTCTCGCTGTTGTTTATTCTTTGGTCATTGTAATTCCTTCTTTTTTTTTTGTTTGTATTTGTTTTTTCAAGAAAAACCTAGAATGTATGTTTGTGTTTTTTCAACAGAAAAGTACAATAAAATGAAGTTATACTTATACAAGATTTATTTGGAGGGAGAATATCCTGTAGGTTTTCTACGTTTTGTGTTCTAGGAATTATAGTTGCTAAAACATGTTTTAGCATTCGCCAAGTGTTTAACGAATCGCAGTTTGTGTATCATTTCTTAAACAATACAACAGAGATATAAGATGGAAATTCACTTTGATTAGCATCATGTCAGTATGATTATATTATGTGCTTGAAATTCTTTAGTCCCAATGCGGACATTTATTAACGACCACATTTACAAAAAATAAAAGAACATTATAACATTTCAATAATTAAACAAACAAGCAGCAATGATCTGACTGAATAAAGAAATTATCGGATAAAAAAAACGAGCAAAAAGAGATTATTTAGACGGATTTTCCGATAAAGTTTTGGTTTTCGTATCATTGATAAATCGAGTAGTTCGATAATAATTTATACGTTCCTTAATAAACAGAGAGTGAATAGGTTTTACTTAAAATGTAAAACAGCAAAAAAGCTTACTGAATCAAGCGATGGGACCAAATCAACGATCTGACCAAAATCATCGGATTCAACTGGGGCCTAAATAGGTTAAAACGACTTGGATGTTACTTTTTAGTTTTTGTTCTCCATGCTTACATGAACTAAAACTGGTAAACAATTTGGCCTATGAATACCGAATAATGTCTGATAGAATTCTGCTAGATCATTGCGTAACATAATATGATATGCACATGTGCTAGAAATTAAAACGAATGCCAATAAGTTAGCCAACACTTTGACATGATCTTATTCAATACTTTATTAGCATCCATAAATGGTCAACGACTTCTGGATTGTTCAATGAACACGAACGATTTTGACGAAATGGTGGATGTTTACAGAAATATTTTACAATCGATTGCCTAAAGAAAACAAAACAAAAAGTTAAACTGAACATTTGACTTGAATAGTAGATGTGCTATGTCTTACTGTACTAAAAACTTAACACGTTTTTCTCGGTTATTATCCCCATCTTAATCAGAGATAAATCATCTATATACGACGTTATAATGGCCGGTTTACCGCTAATAATAACGGTTATTATTATGTAGTAAAATGGAGATAATAACCAGAAAAACCTGAGCATCTATATTGAAAACAAGCTTTAGTGTCTAACAATAGATATCACTAGTCGTGTCAGGAAAGGGATAGTTACCGTATATAACAGTTCGGATCAGTTTTGATCAAATCCAATAAAAATTTGAAAACATCTTCGCTCAATGTAGCTAAAAAGAAACGAGTTACAGGAAATAAATTAGACGAAAAAAGTAAGTAGTTTGAAAGTTGAAGGACTCTGGCACACAAATAGCAATAATTTCATGTTTTCTAGCGACAGAATAGCGACTCACTAGGGATCACGTCGCGATAAAGTGAGTCGTATCGCGACAATAAAAGTTCGCGATCAGATTTCAAATCTTCATAAGATTTGATTGCAATCGCGACGCGACTTCAAGAGTCAATTGCGATCGCGATCACGCAGTAACTAACGCGAATCCGTAGCGATCTCGTCGCAAATGAGGCATGACAGTGGACCTGGGATGTTCTTTCTTTCTTATCTAAAGCAATAATAATTTATCACTCTTTTATTCCCATAGCAGTGACTCAGTCAAAAAGTTTTCATATATGCATAGGTTTTCATCAAAAAATAACTAAATTTTTCTGAAAAAAAATGTTAATTTGCCTTTCTTCTCTATTAAAATCGCTATCTTCTACGAAATCACTTTTATTACAAGATCATGTTCACTCAGATACCATTCAAGACGATGTATGAAGATACAAAAGACACGGTGTCAATTCAAAAGTCTTCACTTACATTCAACATAATCAACAAGTATTTCGCATGCTGTCAATCTTACACTATCATACATTCCATATCGTGCATATTCATAAAATATATCCATATTGATAGGTATCAAACAGTGAGCTTGTAATTTTCTTAATACTTTTAAACAACTGGATGTTACACAATAATCATAGGATGGTATAATTGTATCAAAATTTAATTGTAATACAATTTCATCAATGATACGTTTTGTATTGGGGTCAAGATTCATATTTGATGTATTCGATTGATGATCATTATTCAATGGTAATTGTCCAACGTTTGATGTTATAGTATTGCCTATTGCATCAATCAATGATGAACGATAATAACAATCGGAAAAACGATTTTTTGAATTTTCATTATAATGAATTAAATCAAATAGAAAGTGAATGACTTCTGATGGGCATACTCTATCTTTATTTCGTTGTAAACCTAGAGCTTTTGGAATTGTTTTTTGTAACATGTACATTTGTGAATTAGAAAAATCATTAACACGAACAATAGTCGTTGTTGTTGTTGTTGTTGTTGTTGTTGGTGTTGTTGCCGTTGATGAGGATGTTATTGTTCCGCCTGCTGGTGTTGCATTTGGTAAAGAAGAATTAGATACATTTGCACACATGAAGACGCGACGAAAAAAACTTAATGTTGCTGGAGGTCCCGTCCACGTATTGGCCATGGCATTTGCTATCTAAAAAGAATAAAGCATAAACTAACACATGAAAGAAAGTAATCGAAAAGAAAACTGTACTTGAGCGAGAACACATGCACATTCCATTCGAATACGATAATAGCACGTTGAAGAATCTAGTACAACGCCTAGTGTTTGTCTGGTATTTTGACTGGGATAACGTTTTAAAGCTTCTAGTGCTTCAAATTGGGATAATATATCTCTCTCATAACGTAATTCACAATGCCAGTGATAATCGGCTTGTTCAAATTGTATTTCACGAATTATTTTCATATCGGGATCAAGTCTAATCCACAATATTGGACATTCTGGACTAAATGATAAATAATAAATAATTCCGACGTCTATTCAAATTTTGTCACTTCACAAGTTTATACAGTTCATTACTCTAAGTTACTTGAACATGCTACTTCATGATCTATTCAACTTACTCCATTTGACTTGAATCGATGTCTACTTCTTCACCAGATATTAAAGGAATTTTTTTCTTTTTATTTCTAAAACAAAAACGATCTTGCTATCATACATGACGTGTGCAGTATTAAAAATAAATTTTTATTACCGTTTGATTTTCGAATGACATGTTAAATCATACTTTGTTACATTTTCTTCTAATAAAATTGTTTGAGAAAATGAACCTTCGAGTTCTTGAACACGTACCATTAATGAGCCCTAGATAACAAATCTTTTTAGCATATGCATTGATCGTACAGATATGTTTTCATACTAAAAATCGTCTTGATCCTTTGATAGTTGTATCTTGCCGAAGTTCAAGTTCAACAATGTTACGTTTGCGATTAAATGTAAAACTACCAATTAATTTTGGACAACCCGATTCATAACTATACAAAATAATAATAATAGTGAAGAAAAACAAAGTAAAAAATAGTGAACATTCAAATTTTATAATAAAAAAACATACACCCATTGCGTGAGAAGTGGTTGAATATCTTTTGTTGTTAATGCACTGACAACACGTGCAAATGATTTTGTTGATATATGAAGACGCGAACGTGAACTAATCGACGCATCTGTTAGACAAGCTGTTGTTGCCAAACACATTAATTTGTTAAGAACCTAAAGAAAAATAGAAGGTAAAAATTCGTGAGCGAAACGAGAAATGAACAGAGTATTCAACAGTGTTACTTTTGTTTTATCTATTTTAATCTCAAACCCGTTACAAGAGCTGTTTATTACCATCTGCATATTCTGTGAAAATCTGTCTCTTGATTCTTCAAGAAGATCAAAATCATTACAAGGCAACAGTAGCGCTACACTTAAGTCATTGTTTGGCAGACACTTAACTGTCAATTAGCCTATATAAAAAGCACCATTATCGTGTCTCTGATTTATTTCAATCAGTTCAAATATATTTTACTGTATCAGGATCTTTTACCTGCATCATAATTTCACGACCAATAAAATCATCAATCATTCGAACAACCAGATGAGCTTTTTTAGCGGCAACCTAAAATGATAGGAAATTATATTAATACTGAACATCCACAAGAAGAGTATTGAGCATACTTCGAGATAACTTGATGAAAGCATTTGACCCAGTCGATTATTGATGTTTGTTATGTCAGCATCTGGTAACGACGAGAAATCAAGCTTAATAGGATTGTCTTCTCGTTCATATCGTATTACTTCAAGCATATCCTAAATAGAGACGCGGAAAATATATTGAATAAAGATCAAATACAATCTTTATTTGTTTTCTTTTTCAACTGTTGAACCTGATAAAGATTGTACCGATATTCATTGTTACCAAATGCTCGTCGTGTATACAGATTTGTTAAATAAAGAGATAAACCAGTCAATAACCACCAATCACACCTGTATACAAAAAACAAATTTACCAATTTGTGTATTCATGAATAAGAAAAATATAATTTACCATGAACGCATAGTAATGAAACAACCAAAAAATTGTGTAGCCACAGCATAGGCCATTTGTGTTCTTGCATGCCATGTTGTTTCAATAATATTAGCTGGATGCAAAAGACTAGTACTAAAGAAAATCGTATATCATATTAGTTATATATGTTATCAAAAATTTTGTCTGCTACCTTAGTATGGCCATGGATGCGTATGACATACATTCACTATGTGCTTCATAAACAAAAACTTGTTTATAATTAGGATATTGACAACTAGCATTTAATAATTCTTCATAGTATTCAATTGGCTAAAGAAAACAATGATAAAAATTCATAATTCTGTATATAAACAACTATATTTAACGCTTTGGTTACGGAGCCCGTATCTATACGTTTTGAGCTTATGCACAGATTATGGCTGTTATGACCTCCCTTCTTGGCCAGGCCATAAGAGTACTCTTTTTCTCTCATGTTGCCGGTATCATAACGTCCCCATGTAGTACCACCATGTATGTATACATCTTCCTCCTTTACGGTCTGGCTTTTTTGAAAAAATCAAATTTTTTGTCATTTTTCCAAGAAAAACGTAACCAAAGGGTTAATTGAAAATCTTACTTCATGTACAAAACTCGTTGCATTCGTTAGTAACGGTAACATTGCTGGTAAACAATAATTTGTTATTTCTTGTGAATGTGAATCAACAACGGATTCGAATGATCTGAAAAACAACAAAAAACATTGATTATTGTTCGATGTAAAACGTTTAATATTACCCAATGGCTAAACCAATTAGTGGAGCTGGTACTGGTGTACTAAGATAATAGCGATATGTCTTCCAATCTTGATTTGTTACACACTCAATCAATTCTCCAGATGCAATAACAACCATTGATTGTTCGATAGTAACTTCAATTGTCCATGTGCAAGGTTCACAATAACTGTCAACACAAGGAAATATTGAACGAGCATTATGACCAGTCGTAAATAAATGGCGACTTTTCTGAACATACATAAAACAGACTTATTTCATATCAACAAATTCTTGTATTTTGAGAGAAACATACAGTTGAAAGTACACTGTCATCATTTGGAACAAAAAAATGTAAACCAAATGTTGGTTTTTCTAAAGCAAAATCAACTTTAACTTTGAACACTGTAGTTTCTAGAAAGAAAACACAATAATAAGAAAATAAATACAAAAAAAGAAGTATTTTTTACCGTTATTCTGTGATTGTAACGCTTCAGGTATATAAATTGTTAATTCACCGTTGCCCTCGTCAGCATCAGTATATTCAAATATACGTTGTTCATGTTTCAGAAATGTATTTAGATCACGTCTTAATGGAAATAAGGTAGAATAGAAAAATGTTGTACGTCATTGATTAAACATACCGTGGATCATCCTCTGAACAAATTACACTATGTGGATCATCATAAGAATATTCAGCTTCATAGACATTATTAATAGTTACACCAAATATAACTAATTGATATTGTTAAGGTATATTATCAGTTATAAAAGATAGAGAAAATAATCCTAAAGTACATCAGTATTTTAAAGGATACGCATCTGACTTGCATTCAATTTCATAACCGTAAAATCTTTAACTAATGGATGAATTGTTAATTCTACACATCCCTTTAAGACAAAAAGTTTTATAATATAGCGAGAAAACAAGACCAGTAACACTTACAACAATGGTTTGTTTGTTAAAATTAATACCTGTTATACACAAAATTTGATGAGATCTAAAGAAATAGTTAAACATCGTATTATTGAAAAGAAACATTGTGTGAAAATATAGTCACGCACACGATCAGAGAACGAGACACTTGACGTAGTTCGTCGATTTCCATATTGTTATATTCTTCTTTTTTTGCTTAATACTTTAACATAGTGATTGATCATTCAAACATTTCTTCATTTAGAACACTTTTAAACATCTAAAACAAATACCAGTCTTCTAACATCGATAGCACAAATACCTCATCTGATTTGACGCTTAACTTGGTAACCAAATTACATAAATCAAGATGTTTCGGATGTGGTGGGATAGATACATGAGGAATACTGAACTCAACGGCTTGTCCAGCTAACGGTCCCCTTTATTCGCTCTTTTTCAAAAAATTATTGTAATAAAGCTACAAACTAATCTAAACTTGCGACTAGATTGTTTGCTCTGGAAAATGTGATAGCTGTACAATAACTGTATTTCCATGACGAATCAATGTTCATAGCCCAGACACTTTTCATTTTATAGAGAAATGCTTAATCTACTCAATTATCTGGTTGCAATTTTAGATTTGTTTGTAGTTTTATTGCAATAATTTTTTGAAAAAGAGCAAAGCGGACTGTTAGCTGGACAAGCCGTCAAAGAGAAATTAATATAATACTTCCAATATATTTGCTTTAAAGTAAGATGGGAGATCGATCCACCGGACAATCAGTTACTATAGACAAAAAAAGAAGATTTTATAGTTTCAAAAGAAAAATCTTGTGTAAGAAATGGAATATGAACATATTTGGTGTGTTGGTGACGAGGAAGACACACATTTGGTGGCTGTATAAAAAATATGGAGAGCCTTAAGTGATGACAAAATATATCATCACTGAACGCCGTTTAGGGAGGTAGAGAGCTAAATCAAAACCATAAAGGTAGTAATTCAAATTTTGAAGAATAATGCGAGCAACAAAATGATTCGCAGAATCAAGAATAGAAAGAGCAAACGAACTAGTACAGAGTACAGCAGTAATCAAGTTTAGGAAGGATACAAGACAAATGGATTCGACGCAGTGCCCCAGATGAAGCTAGACTAAATATATGCCCCAAATCATCAAACTTACGCCAACAGCTTAGAGCAATATCATCAGCATGAGGAGTCCATCTTGGATCGTGCGAAATAACACCAAGACAACCAACAGAAGAAATAACAGCAAGAGTTGATTGAAATACAAGAGGGAAAAGGTTGAATAAGAAAGGTAGCCAACAACATTTTTCAACATCCAAAGATATTAACATAGAAGATCAATTAGAAACAGAACCGACACCGTTTTGACCGTGAGAAAAAATTCAAAGGATCAGAAGAAGAGATGTCACAGTTAGGAGAGAAAGATAAAGAAGAGCGTCAATTGTAGAACGTCTTGGACGAAAACCGGACAGATTATTTACAAAAAAGTTGTTTATAAACAGATGTTTAAAAATAAAATTATACATTAAATCTTCAAAAATTTTGCTAATAACAGGAAGAGAGACAGTACGATAGTCAGAAATATTAGAAACAGTACCTTTTTCATGAATAGCAACATTCCTTTTTCAGTATAGGGTACACCAAAACTAAAAACGTGTTGAAGAGGGTCATTTATGTGTATCTGAAATGTGTTGAAAAGAATTTAACCAGTTATTCTTTTTTTCCACTGTTTCACCTCTACAAAAATAAACTAATGGTATGTTATATGATTAGATGAGAAAGATATGTTTATTTCGTGCGTTTTTGTCGTTCTTCGTTAACGAATATGATGGATCTCATTTCCCAATTTCAATTTTTTGCCAAAAGCAACTGGTTGCAGTATCTATAAGTAAAGGAAAATTGACAGCTTTTCAATGATTGAATATAACAATTATCCAATAGAAACTTATGCCGACACCTTCATTTATTTATTGAGAATGAACCTTGCGCAATCTATCGATACAGTCCCGAATGAGCAGAGATCATCTATGATTCTTTTTATACCAATATACAAGCCGATGAGAATCAAAATATATTGGAACTTTCAATAAGTGTATGTCTTCTGTTTTGTGGGTACCGCGAATTAATATAAGATATTTAAGGTTTTGATCAAGATTAGCCTTTGTTAAAATTCTTTTTATTAAACGCCAATATCAATGCGATTTATGCTAACGTTGGCACTTAATGAAAGAAATTCTAATGAAAACTTACCTTGGGCCACTATTTTATCATTTTTTATCCGATCGATAGCAGCCAATAGATAGTATTTTACGGATTTTGAACCTTTCCTCGCAGGAGGGTTCAAAGTTGGGTACCGGCTCACTCTCATCGTCTCACTCTACAAAGAGACTTCTTATTTGTTATTCTGTGAATTAAAACTTTTGTATTTTTGAATTCCTGAATACCAGAATTTCAAGAATTGTTCAAACCGATTCGATATAAATTCAAAGAATTTTTGACTTTTTCGAATTCAAGAAATTGAGAAAAGTCACATTTTGAATTCTTTCAACTGAAAAAATTCCAAAAGTCTGCGTCAATTTCTGAATTCCTGAATTTTTTTTTCATTAAGAATAGTCCTTGGTGGCTATTTCTGAATTCTTGAATCTTTCTCGAATTGGAAAAACATGATTCCAATTTTTGAATTCCTGAATTCTTTGAAATAAGAAAAATCCGTGATGGTTATTCGCAGGGGCGTAGCGAACACAGGGGAGCGTGATCCCTCTTCAGCTTTTGAAAATGTTTGCTTTTCCCGCAGCAAAATATGATACATCTTCTTGTTCTGTGTAGTAGCTTTTTTGTAGTAATTTTTTAACAGGAACACAACATTATTTAACAGGAAAATTTTAAGTCGCCCCCTTCCTGCTTTTGAGCCCCCGCTACGCCGTTATTCATGGGTTATTCATGATTTCTTGAGTTCTTTGAATTAAGAAAAAGCTTAATTTCTATTTCTGAATACTTGATGCTAATTCTGAATTTCTGAAACTGGAGAAAACCTTGATGCTAATTCTTGAATTCTTTCTGCTAATCTTGAAAATTTTATCAATAGAGAGTTCTATGAACTCGGCTGTAGAATCCTGCGGTAACAAAAAAATTCCATTACCATATGATAAATCATGCCATCTCTTTATTATAAATGGTATCGTATATCGCTTGAGTGTATATAATACAGTCAAACGTTATATAACGTTCAGGCTAGTCCACCATTCTATATATGCTTTATTTTCTGTCTAATGCACGCGTTTATGCTTTTTTTACTTTCCGTTCCGTCGGAATATGTTCTGTTACCATGGGAATTCCATTACCATTACCAGAGTAATGGTAATGGTAATGGTAAAACATTCATGATGATGGCAATGGTAATGGTAATGGTAATGGTTTAAAAAAAAATTTCTATGGATGGTAATGGTATGGTAAATGGTAACGAAAAAGTCATGGTAACAGGACTCTACTTGGCTGCTCCTTTATGAATTAAAAACATTTAAAAATAAACATCGTTCAGTTTTCCAGTATTTCTTTATCTTTTTCTTATAGTTATGAGCCGGTAATGGTTACAAAAATAAATCTCACTTTCAAACAATAAAGCATCACTCTTATTTCAAATGATATTACCTTATTTTTGTTGCTACACTAGTGGCAGCTACGAATCTGTTCAATCCTTCATTAACATCTGTAAGAGAACTTTTTCTACCGTCCCATGGATTAAAGTTTTCAAACCGGCGGTTAACCACGATTATTTTAGGAACCCACGGTTAACCGCGGTTATTTCAGCTGAAACCATAGCAACACAGCAGAAAAACCGACGGTTAACTTCACAATTAACCGGAAAAACGGTCGGTTAACCGCGGCTCACCGGCCGTTGTTCCGGCTAATTGTGAGGAAACCGTCGGTGTTTCTGCTGTATTGCTATGGTTTCAGCTGAAATAACCGCGGTTAACCGTGGGTTCCTAAAATAACCGTGGTTAACCGCCGGTTTTCGTCCGGTTTCGACAACATGGCATTCTTTCTGATGTACAATACAAGCACTTGTAGATTTTATATTAACAAATATAGTGCTATTTACTGTGTATTGTAAAATTTTGAACCTGATCGAATTCAAATCTCACGCATGGTGGGACAGTTGGTAACCTTGATTTCTCTTGCAGTGTACTACAGCATGGATCTATGAAACTTTAATCCATGTAGAAGAAGTTCTCTTAAAGATGATAATGAAGGACTGAACAGATTCGTAGTTGCCCCTAGTGTAGCAACAAAAATAAAAGAAGTTAAACAAGAGTGATGTTTTATTGTGTAAAGGTGATATTTATTTTTGTGACCATTCCTGGCTCAAAAACTATAAGAAAAAGATAAAGAAATACTGGAAAACTGAACGATGTTTATTTTTTAAATACTTTTAGTTGCACACTGAAGTGATTTGAGGCTCTAGTGAAGCTTTTTTTCTCACGCACATGAGATATGGCATACCTCAAGTTTTGTCCATACATATGAGTTTTTTACTCAAGAAAGTCATGTGCTTGAGAAAAACAGCTTTACCAGGCAGACGTTTCTCATATTATATTGAAACATCACTCATTTGTAAAAATCTTCACGTATCGGATTTTTTAGATAAGAAGGGCTGGGAAATGAAGCATGAGGAATTGACTATAAAATTCTTCTTTGTGCAAGAGTTTCCTATAAGTGATTATAAACTTTTTTTATTTATGATAGTACAAAAATCGTTTTTGTGAAAGAACAGTAACAACAAAATAGAGACAAAAAACAATAAACAAATAAATATAGAAGGATTTTGTGAAAAAAAGACCGTAACTAAACAAATAAATAAACAATAAGCAGCTTTTGTGCAGTTTCAATAAGAGGAAAAAAAATTGAAAGTTTTCACTGAGAATCAAAGAAAACGAAAGATCAAAGAAAATATCACACACACATGCACACGTACAGAGCCATTAAATCAGAAAAGAAACACTATGGAAAACACAAATCATACAAAAAAATGTTTATTGAAAAATGTATTAAAATATGAAACAACCATGGCACAGGGCTTTACTCAAGAAAAAAAAACAATAACACTGAATAAAAAAGATTTTTGTTTAAAAAAAACAACGACGAAAAGGTCTCGACGGTTATGATTAACAATTACTATTCTCACAATGCTAGAATGCCATGCTATGATTGAGAAATAAGACTCTTTCATCATAATATTTTCAAGTCCATTGGATTCATAGAAAAAATTTTACTTTTTATCGATAGTAACATGGAGTACGACTTCGTTGAGTGGCATAAACTAACAGATCTTTTAGAAAACTGCTTTCTATCTTTATTACGATCCTTTTGTTGATTGTATTTCGCGCAGTATACACCAAAAACAATCATTAACCCTTTCGGGACGGGTGACTTTTTAAAACGTCATTAAAACCTCAAAAATCGGAATAAGCCGTGTTTTCCAAAACTTTCTTTTGAAGAAACGTCCTTCAAAATTCGATCATAATCAAATTTCAAATACAGCATCTTATGCAGTTTTTGGCGCTCTATCTTTTGATGTATAATACATTTGAATAATATTTAGTTCTGAGTTAGAAATCTAAGTTTTTCCGAAAATTTCGGTCCTTCTCAGTAAAAGAGGGTTTTGAGTACAAAGACAGAATCGAAAGTCAAAAATGTAACGAACGAAAAACGAAATACTGAGGATGCGTTTTTTCCGTTTTTTTAGGAAAATACTGTTTTCTACCTAACTCGGCCAAAATAAGTTGAAACTTAAAGATATTTTCACATATGGTAGAGTTTAGTGATAGCTTTCTTTTGACGAAAGGATGAAGTCTCTATCTGTCAGGGAAGCCGAGATATTGCAAAATAAAAGAGGTCTTAAACTTTTCAATAGCACTGTAGATATAAAAATTAAACCGGTCCTGAAAGGGTTAATTGCAATGAATTTGCGGACGAGAATCTGCTGAATGGAAAAGTCACCTTGTACAATATCTCTTAGTTCATGCTATGCTGTTCTATAAACTTATGTTTTATTTTACGAGTTCGGTAAATAGTAACGTTTTCTCTCTAAATCTAATATTCTTGAAGATATTTTTATGAAGGAGTCTTATTTGTCAACCATAGTATGGTAGTCTAGAATTGCGAGAATGGTAATTGTTAAGTGTTAACTGCGAGTTTTTGAATGTGAAGAGGGTATAATGTGTACAATCGTATACCCGTAAAACTGAGTTAGACTGGTTACAACAAAAGAAGAAGAGTATTTTTTGATTTTTTATTCGTTCCTGTCGACATCTTATACAATGGCATATTAATGAGATCGCCTAATGGTATTCTAAAGAGCATCTCGTCGAACAAAAAGAAATCTGACCTTGGCAGGCGATTAAAAAGATGAGTAACGCCGTCGAGCGAGAAATATATAGAACTTTGCTATATATTAATATATATTACTACAACTTTACTATATCTTATTTATATTACGTTCTTAATTGTTCACAAATGTTAGTTATTGTACAAATCTGACAAAATTATAGCATTCTTCAGATCGGAATTACAAGCATATAGTATACATAGTTCTTTTTATCTAAATAAATTCACTTAACTTAGTTCTGACATCTTTTGTCCTGTCTTAACTATTCCTGTGTCAAGACTATTCCTGAATCCTTATTTGCATTAGACTATTATTCGTGTTATCTTCAAATTTTTTACATGAATCTCTCGGCGTATTAGATGATGAATGAAAACTATCACGTTTAGGTAGAGCGAGTGAACATAATATTGAAGCACTTGTAGGATTAGTTCGATGAACAGTGGTAGTAGTGTTTAGTGCTGGAATACTTGTATTAGTTCCGATACTTAATTCACCTAATTTTTTAATATATGAATCACTACTATTAGTTGTGTTAGTATTATAATTATTTTTTTTAGCATTCATTTCATCCATATATTTGGATGATGATGGTATTTCAAACATATTATTACCGTTTAGACTTTTAGTTTTATTATTTCGATCATCAGACCTAGGTTTATTATTTCGATCGTCAGACCATGTTGTTGTTCGCATAGTTGGTGTAACGAATTTTACTCCAGAGATAATGGTCGAACCTGCTAGCGATGGTACAATTTTACCTGATGATTCGACACTATTATTGACGACAGTCGTGTTAGGTTTTATGGGCGAAGAGAAAGGTCTTGTAGAATCAAAATCGTATGAAACTAAGTAACGCGTTAATATATTATGATCTTCTGGTAACAATCGTTTTTCCTTCATATTTGGTGAGACTGATCGTGCGTTTGCTAATGTATATCGTGTTGGTGTATTCGTTGTCGATGGTCTTAACTTTGAATTTGGTGAGTATATTTGATCTTTTAAACTTTTACTCGAATCGTCCTCTATTGAATTACTATGCAGTATGTTTGTCAGATCTACACTTAAACGTGAAGGTGAAGTGGGCGAAATAGTTTGTCTACCTTTTCTTAAAACTGCTTGCACTCCATTATTGGAACCGTTTTGTCGATGATGATTTTTGTTGTCAATATCAAATGATGATGAGGAACCATCAATTAATGTTGACTTTTGATTATCTTTGAAAGCATATGGAGACGACGAAACTGGATCGAATACGGAATTATACGTATTACCATTAATATTATTATTTTTAATCGATGATCGTTTGGCAGCAACAAAGTGGAAATCGTTTGGATCATGTTTATCATCCAACGATAAACTCAATGGACGATGTACTTTTTGTTCTGATTTTGAATTATAGGACTTATCTGGTTTATCAAACAGATGACGTGTAGCGACAGGTATGGCTGATGCACGATGATTTTTATTTTTCAAATCTTTGTTACGTAATGCTGCAACTGATTGTGGTGCTGGAGCTGACGAACGTGTTAAATCCGAGGATGAAAAAAATGAGCTAGTATTTAGTTCCAATTCAACTAATGAATTGGAATCAGTTGCACTAACTGGTGTAAGAGGTGAACTATCGTTTGCTGTTGATATTGGTGTATCGGTTGAATTTTTTGCTGAATAACGATTATTCGTAGAAGATGATTGCATTGAAGAGGAATAACGATGATCATCATTAGTAGTATTTTGATCATTCGTTGATCGTAAATAGTTTTTTATCGGTGGTGGTGATGATGATGGTATCGACGTTTGATCAAGTGAACTGTGTGAAATTGTTGTTGTTGGAGCTGCTATTGAATTACGATAACGAATTTTATCCGAAGGAATAATCGAGGAATGCAAACGTAACGATAATAGGGGTCCCGTACAAAGCCAATTATGTCTCATAATGTCTTTTGTTGTTGCTCTTAAACTTGCATCGGGCTTAAGACAGAATTGAATTAATGGCAATGCACCTGTAAAAGTTAGAAAAAAAGTACAAGAGCATTGGTGCAATTTGGTTATTAGCTAAGCTCCGCCACCGCGCGCAAGTATACGTGCAAAAAGTAATAAAGCATTTTTCGTTCTATCTAGAATGGTGTCAGTTATCCCATAACTTCTAGTCGGCTGAGTCCTTAACAAAACATTTAAGTAACATATATCAGACAACTTAATTGTAGACAGAAGAGAGAGAGAGAGACAGAGAGCGAGAGAGAGAAAGAGAGAGGGAGAGAGAAAATAAATTCATTCTAATATAGAAATATTTTTCTTCAGATAAAAAATGACTATGAAAGAAATGGATTAGTGTTGTGAATTACGATCCCTTATCCCATTTCTTTCGGCAGTGGTTCGTCGTGAAAAATAGTTTGATTTTGCATTAGTATTATTATTACTATAGTTTGAATTAGGCACAGGTGCATTATTCGTTGTCGCTGTTGTTGTGTTATGATAATGATTTCGTGCAGAATTTGAATAATTCGTATTGTTTTGTGGTAAATGATTATTACTGGTAATCGAATTGGCTTTTGATGATGGTCCAACAGAAGACATATTTCCATTGGTAAGAACCGGTACGCCTTTTGTTACTGGATGAAAAGATTGCGGTGGTGGCAGCGGTGCTGGTTGTGGTTGCACTGGCACTGAATTGGGTGTCGGAAAGGTTTCGAACGGAAGCGCTTGTACACCACCATTTTTACGTGGTGTATAGGTATGAAAATAGACGGGCGGACATTTAAAACCAAGATTAACCCACCAATGTTCAGCTATATCATCAATAGTCGAACGTTTTGATGGTATTACTGTCAAACATTTACGTATTAAACCGAGAGCTCCTATAAAAATTCTACTATAATGCTGACCGATTCAAATTTTAAAATGAAAAAATTTACTCGAAGAAGAAATACTTTTCAAGGTTATTACTATCTCTTACCTGATTGCTCTCGAGGTTGAATAAATTCACCCGATGTAATATTACGAACGAGACGATTATAATCTCCACCTTGGAATGGCATTGATCCATAAACAAGGGTATATAGTAAGACCCCCAATGACCAACAATCAACCTTCAGTGAAAAGAGAAAAAGTTCATTATTTTTAACATTCATTAAGGTCTCCAAGTTGGCACAAGTTCAATTATATTTGAACGAAAATTATAGGCCTTAAGTAACAAACATCATGTGAATAAGCTATGGCAAATATTACAACTCAAAATGTCGAATCCTTCAAGAGCTATATGTAGCGTGGCGTAAGGATTAAAAGAGAGCTATTCGTAAGATATATTCCTCTCGAGTTTGGTGGTAGTGGAGATCGGACTTTCTTAAACTGATCTTTGGATCTTAATCTAGAAATTGCTATGTGTAATTTCAAAAGTCCTCGCCATTGCTTTTTGACATAATAGCACGAGATAATCGATTTTTGTACTCTCTTTGATTTTCTCCGCAAGTGAATCAAATTTCAGACACTGCCCATGTTAATCTATTATTTTAATCTTAGCTTTCAAAAAAACGAGAGGACTTTGCTCTACAATGTCAGATGCTTCTGAAAAGTGACCACATATGTGATTCATTTGTAGGATAGAAAGTGATACACATTTTGAAAGTATGCAGTTAATAAATTTGATCATATATCGTGTTTCAGTGGAAAAAATCGATTTCTTTTTGCCAGAGTGAGAAATCTTTAATCGCTTACTTCTGGGCCGTAGTAAGGTATACCACTAACGATTTCAGGTGATGCGTATAATGGCGATCCACAAAATGTATGCAGAAGTCGTCGAGGAGACCAACTATTGCTGAGACCAAAATCGGCCAACTAAAACAATATATAATTTCGTTATTCGAAGATTCATCAATATATTTACAAATACCCAAATACCTTTATATCTCCATTGTGATCAATTAATATGTTCTCTAGTTTAAGATCCCGATGAACAATTTGATTCTAAAGTTGAAAATTTTAGAACTAAGAAAATTTTTTGTACTTGTGATGCATTATTCTCTTCTGTCTTCATTTAAAACTCTTTAGATAAATATAAACAACAATAAAAAGAAACATACTTTATGGAGAAAATGAACGGCTGATACAATTTGACGAAAGATGGCTCGTGCTTCTGATTCGGGTATGCGTTTCATTCGGTTTAAGTAATCATATAGTTCACCACCGCTAGCATATTCCATAACGAGAATAATTTTTTCTCGACTTTCGTACACTGGAAAAAAAAGTAAAAAGATTTTAATTAAGTTTAACAATGACAGATGAGATTACCTTCTTTGATTTTAATTACATGTGGATGATTTAGTCCAGTCATAAAATCAATTTCTCGACGAATTCGAGCTAAGTCATGTGGATTTTCTATACGTGATTTTTTAATTGTTTTGATTGCCACCTAGAATAAAATCAGTTGATGTATATGATGTTCGATATTTCTATGCCTGATGGTTCATTAGTTTTTCAATAATTAAATCCCAGTGTAAAACATTGATAAGAGTGGAATTCGATGACTAAGCTATTGTCACGGTGGAAGAAATGATGGCCATGACCAATTTTCAAACAACTATTGATAAAAATGAGATAGCGATCCGCGGTTTTCACCATTCGAAAGAGGATAGTTAGTGACATCTTTCTATAAGGAAAAAGCTTTCTTCAATGTTTTGATTCTCATATGGAAGAAGCTCACTATTGATGATCATGAGAAATTTTATACCACGGCTAAACGATTGAATTTTAACAGTTCGCTTGACTTCCAAATTAAAGAGGAGACTTGGAGCTATCTGTCCATGAAAAAAATCAAAATGTTGCTATTGAACATTTTTGAACCATGTCACTAGCTATCCTCTTTTGAATAGCGAAAATCGCAGGTCTTTATCTTATTTCTAGCAATATGTATTCGAAAATTGGTCATGGCCATTATTTCTTTCACCGATAATAGTTAAAGATGGTCATTTATTCTAGTTGTAAAATACTGGTATCACACCAAAATGTACTGCTGCACTCATAATCGGACGCTTAGCAACAAATATGTTACTTTTAGGATTGGTTACCTGTTCATTCTTTCTTTTATCAAGCGCTAATTTCACTTTTCCATATGTGCCTTTGCCTAATGTTTGTTTAAACTCAAATCTGCTGTGTAATGTTTCTCGTTGACCACTACTACTACTAACACCATTCTGTTTTAAATCTTGTGATGATGGTGGAGTGGTAGTTGATTGATGTACGGACTCGCCAAAACTATTTAAACTGCCTAAACTAGACCAATTTGAGTTACGTGCTTGTCGTTGTTTACCAATTCCCACACCCGCTCCATTTGAAATTCTAGATAAAATATAAAAAAATTGTACAAAGTTTTGTTTCGAGAAGCGTTATTAAACCGCATTACAGCAGATTCATTTATCCAGTTCTATATCGTATAAAAATCTGTTAGGCCTTTAAGAAATTTATTCTTTTTGAGGATATTTGTAGCCTTTCTACAAAAAAAAGAAACTACTCTTTTGGCACTATTCTTTGTTTCGTTGTTAACAAGTTCAATTGAGTATCGTTTCATCTACACTTAAAAAGGTGTATATGTGAGTACAAACTCTCTTTTTCTCCTTTTCTATTTATTTACTATTGTGGATTAATAACGATAGGTTTGACGCGATTATCGATATATTATAACGCTACTACTGCTAAATTTTAAAATGACTCATACATTTAATAGAAGGAGAATGAAAAACAAAAATTCAACGCGCATCAATGATCTTTATAACATTTCCGTTATCTTTGCTCATTGTATCCGATGATATACAAAAATGAATATTTGTCAAATTTGTTCTTTTTTTCTTCTATTTAGACTTTAACTAACTAATCATTGGTCAACAGGCAAGGTCATGGTTTAAAACATATACATTAACCTAAATGCCTCAATATTCGAATAGGATTGAAGGCATGATGCATCAATGAAGTACTTCTCGCTTTTTTGAAAAATATCAGTAACTAAGTTGTTGTTTTGCTTGTTTGAATGAAATGCATAAGAAATTCTAAGAGTTCATCTGCTAAAGAAACATATTCTAAAAACATATTAAATCGATTTTCTGAAATGTTTTTGAATTATCTATCGTTAACAGAACGTTATTACTAATTTATTACTCAAACAAGTAAAACATGATTATTATTAGTCATTTACCTTTCAGTATTATTAATCATAAAATCCACATCAAAATTTCGTAATGAATCCATTGTAACGTAAGGAAATGGAAATAAGTTAATAAACGAATTTTTGGTTTTTTACGAACAACTCATATGTTATAATGATGTCTTCTCTCTGTCTCTTCTATATGTTTTGTTTCTAAAATCAAATGTCTTATTCAGCACGTAAAAGAAAAGAAAAGAAATTCCCTGTATATATATGTACACCATACAATTTGCTAAATGAACTGCTGCGGACATTGTTACACCATATGATTTTTTCTTCATTTTTATTATTTTATTTCACAAAAAAACGAAAAGTTTTTCTTGAGTGTGTATACGTGTGTGTGTATGAAAGAGAGAGAGAGAGAGACAGAGAGGAGAGAAAACTTTATTCAATATGAGAGAAAAGTTTGATAGTTGTACATATAGATTACTTCATTCATTTTAACCGCACATATTTTAGATTCAAAATGAGAAAAAAAGAAGCTCATTCATTTATAATACAAACGAAACAGAATAAAGAACGCAAAGAGTTTTTTTTACTATATATACTCATTCTTAACTCAAATGTACAAAACATAGCACATATACTCTTTATCGCGAAAGATATATCGATTTTAATTTCTTAACAAATATCCTATATATACTGCTCTAGACTTCACATTACAAGTAGATGGTAGTCTCATATGTGAGGTAATTAAATAATATGTCAAAAAACAATCATCTATTAACAATAAACAGATAACAATATGTTTAAGTGTTAATCCATGATCAACATATCCATTGTTGTTTTCATTTACAGTAGCTTGTTTATCGCCCTCAACAAACACGAACGACACGATCGTTCTTCCCACAATAAGTTTCACCTCTGCATAGAAATTCTTCTTTTCTTTCCGGTTTTTACAGGTCAAGAGGATCTCTTTTTAATGATTGCTTACTGAAATTCTAATAATGCAGCAACTAGGCGTCTTACACAAACTAAATAGTTAATATCATTCGTGTTATTCTCTCAGCATCAAGGTTAAAGCAAACGTTCTCTTGACTCTGTAGAAGATTTTTCTTAATTTTCTCTGGTTAGATACTTTTATCAATAATTATTTGAAAGATTAATGATTTTACTTTACCATTTACTGTAATAATTTATATCAAACACTGAAACTAATCATGAAAAATAAACTGAACAAAAATCAACAGCACTGCTGAACTTTGGCATTGTGTTCAAGATATGATGGAGCTAATGTACTCGATATTTGTAGAATTGAATAAAACTTGCCCTGGCCTGTCATGCTTCACTAGAGCTGTTTTGTTAACGCCATTAAATTAATTTATTACGCACGATAGTTATCGTCCTCTATCTCTTGCTCTGTGTGAATTCTAATGCCAATACTCATTACTATAAAAAGGATAAATCTTTCATGTTCATCGTTTGACAGTTTCACACTTGCTTCAATAAAAAAGATAATGAGGAGAATAATTTTTTGTATCGAAAATGATCCTTATATTTAATGTAAGAATAAAAGACAGGTCAAAACTCTAGCGATTTTGCATATAATCGCATGCAGTTATACCTGAACTGCTCGTATCACAAAAAACGGATATGTAGAAACGGGCTCATAAAGTTTAAAATGGAGATTCTTTCTATTCTAGTTTAAAATTTAGAATTGAGTTTCTTATTGAATAATCTTCTCATATCGATGAGGTCATCTTTCCACTCTAGGAAATAAACTCTGACCTTCCACTTCAAACATATTGATAAATATCTTAAACCATTTCAAACTAATACTAATTACTATATATCGAGCGTAGTTATTAACAAACTAACAAATTACGTATTACGTGTGGACTGCAATAGCGGATGTACATTGTCACTCTTCTATACTGATTTGTTTATCAAAAACTTGTCTGAAAGATTTTTTCAGATTTTCCTATAGAGAATGTATTTTTACTCTCCATTAACAAAACTATTAGACAACATCATCAAAAAGTGTGACCTCGAAATCCAAACTTTTTGTTTATAAGATCGACTTCATCTATTATTCGACAGTGAGAGAAAAATCGTAGAAGAAAATGCCACAATGCCAATAAAAAAGAGACACACATCAAAAAGAGCAAAAAAGTATTAAGTAAAAACGGCTTTATTACTAATAATTTTTACTCTAACAAAATGATGCAATACATTAGGACATATTGTCAAGTGTAACATATAGAAGAAGATAAAGACTATTAAGTAACAAAGTGGATTAGATAAAAAATACGTGTAGAAAGTATACTGTCAACTAAATGTTGGATATACATATATTTTTCAATCCCAAAGAGAGAGAGAGAGAGAGAAAGAAAAAGAAAAAAAAATCCAATATAGAACAGTTCTATTTTGTTGTTGTAATTCTTTGGACATAACTATGTTAATCGACGTTTCTCTCTAAACTAGATAATTGTGTTACTTACTTTGTTAATATATCTTCATTTGACCTTGAACGTCGATTTTGTTTTGAACGATGTCTATTTGAACGATATTTATTTTGAAACGAGATTTTTGATGATGCCATGCAGAATAGTTTAATCTAATTTTAAACACGAATCAGTTAAAATTGATTCATGTTATAGAAGAAAGATGTAAAAAAAGTTACGAAAAAATATTCAATTAAAATTTTTTTTTTCTTTTATTTTCTTCTTGTAGTATGTCAAAGAAGAAAAGTATAACTAAGAAAAACGAACAATAAAAAAAGGAACGAAAAGTTTTTTTTTTTTTTTTTTGCTTCATACAAAACAAAACGACAAATGATTAATGGCCGCGGGTGGTGTATATAGGACTTTCTTGATATATATTCTTTTTTTTTTTTGTCACCTGAACAAGTGCACCGAAACGGCTATAATGTGTGTACAAAAAAAAAATATATATATATATTGAATAAAACTAACTATGTATCTCAAAAAACACGTTTTTTTGTAGCTCAAACTTCTTTTATCATATTTTACTTGCTTGGTCTAGACTCAGTTGACAAGAGCAAGAGCAAGTGCAAGAATGACTTGGTACAAATATATTTCATTTAGATCGTAATCATAGATATAATTTATTATTTTTTTCTCATTTTTCTACTTCATTCAATAAAAATAATAAATATTGATTAGTAGTAGTAAATCATTTTTCAATATATCTCTTCTATACTTACAAATAGATATTTAACCTATTCGTTTTAAAATAAGGATCTTCCCTACGAAGATGTTTGAAGTTTCTATTGGGAAGGAGTTCAAATTGTAAAAAATAGCAGAAATGGACAACAAAACAATTGTTTCAATTGATATTAGAGTGAATATTAAACTCTACAAATTCAATATGCTACTCGAAATTAAAAGAGATAACATAATATCAGATTATCTAGTAATAAGTGTATATTTATAGGTAGAAAGTAGAAAAGAGAAGAGAGAAAAAAAAGAGAATGAGGATAGAAAGTCATTTAACATTTTCTATTACGTGTTGAATATACCTTTAAATTGTACACGCGTGTATTTTTTGTTTTTGTTGTTATTACGCGATATTTATTAAACAAGAAAAAGAGAAAAATGCGCGACCAGATAAACACAAATGAATAACAAAAAAGCGCGATGTCTTACTAAGATCTTGATCGACTCATCGGCGTTCATAGTGACGCATATTATGTATGCACAAAAATATACGTCAAACAATATGAAAATTGAACACGAATGGTAATATGTACGATTTCTTATTCAATTTGACATTTTCTCGTTATTGCACTTTTTAGATCTCTCTCTCTCTCTCTCTCTGTCTCTCATCTCATATTATTTCATCTCATTTTAAACATAATAAAAATATACGTTTACATAATATTGAACATTCGATGGTGATGCGAGTTATTATGAGATTTAAAATAGTCTGTCAATAACATATTCCGTACAAAATTCCTAATTTCATTTTAACTATTCAAAGTATGTTAAAAAATAACACATAACATTTCTAAAGAAAATTTACAAGAAGTACTAGGAAGTCTAAGAAGATTTTTCTTTTGACTAAACTGGTAGTATATTAAAGTAAACTTTTTTTGCTTGATTATTATTTATTATGATTAGACTATTGCATTATTGTCAATAAGAATAATAATAGTTGATATGCTTTTGATCTAAATTGCTTCTAAATATGGTTCTTTGTCTTTTAAAACAGCTGGATAGATCCTATAGAGACATAATGTAATCATCTTCTATTCTTTCTATTGTTTATTTTTCACCAGCTGTCTGATGCAGATACAACAAATGCCTTTTGTTTACATGTTTAACAAGACGAAGAAAAATTACTACGTAGTATCCTTCAACAGTATATTAATAGGATTCTCATAGATAAATGAATGGAACTAAATGAACCTGTCACATTTCACATTGTGTAATAAATTCAATTAAAAAAACATGTATTATGTACTTTAAGAATAAACTAGATATCAAAGATGAATATAAAATATTGTATTTGATACCTTAACGAATCTTTTCGAATGAAGTAAAAATAAATAATAAGAGAATTCTAGAATTTAACTACAGTACAGTACAGTAGTTTTCTTACAAAGACGTTTGAAAATAATTATGAATTATGGAATAGTTATCTTCTATTTAATAAAAATGATTATTGTGTAGAAGTCTTGTCTCCTTTTCTACCTAAACACCCCAAGACATTCAAACAAATAAAAAGTCAGTTTCATATACAGTTAAAAGTTTAAATGATAGATCACAACTTAGTCTATTAAAAGTATTGATAAATACTGATTTTTAGGAAAAAAACTTGATAGAAAAAGTAAAACATACCTCATGTTCGATATAAATTATTTCTAAATTTTAATATTGTCATATTCTATGGCACAAAATGATTGTATAACTATTATAGGCGTTTCGTTTCTTCTTCTTTCTCCGAAAACAATTACGTTTATGTCATGTTTTATATTGACCTTATATATTCTCAATCGCGAAATATGCGCTAGGCAAGACATATCCAGAAGCAATTTATATATTTTTCTTGATATAAATATACGTCGCGTATAATAACAATTAATATGCAAAAAAAGATCTATAATATTGACGAGTAAATAGATTTGTTGGGAGTCTTCTTGCTGTTATACACACACACACACAGAAGAAGTTGTAAGATATCTGTAGCAAAGGAAATAACAGTTGGCAAATGTATATCTGCTACTCACATATTCATTTACTATCTAATTGTTATAGTCCAATCATAATATGTTATTGGCAAAAAACTCTACGAGGTAAAAAGAAATGAGTGATAAAGAAGTGTCACTTATTTTATTCAAGTTCGTCAGAAAAACTACAGAGTAAGCTGTTATGGAAAAGAGTGTTCTTCGTACGATAAAAAAACATACGTATCTATTTTCTGTATTTTTTAAAATTTTTTGAAAATCTAGATTAATTAGATGAGACCTTTCTATTTAAGCATGAATTATATTAGTATTAATTTCTCGTATTCACTTTTTTCTGACCTTTTATAGCTAATATCATTTTTAGCATATTTCTCATAAAAATTAACCCTCGGTACTATTACAAGGTGAATGACAACAAAAAATTCTTGAACTGGACAAAATTCTTGTTAAAAATATGTCCGCTCTCGTTTTTTTTTGTTAGGCTGTGTTAGTATTTAGATGATAGATGGGAGTCTTAATATAAGGATAGTAGAAGTACGAGTATATCACTTACACGAATAAACTTGCTGGTCGTCGATTATCCAATGTAACTGAGAAGGGACCGGTAAAATAAACGGGTCGTCTAGGTTGTAATATTTCTGAAAATGGTTGTTGTCGCGAAGTATAAAAATCAAAACGTTCACGACGTGGCGTTCGATAAGAACGTGAAGCATATCGATCATTATCATCAAATAATTCCGATGATAAGGGCAATGATGGGTAATGACGAGACGAATGAACAAACATATTAATGATAAAACATTGTTATACGAAATTTAAATATTTGTGACCAACACTAGAGAAAACAGAGAATGATAATTTTATTGGATCTGGATTAAATAAACAAAGAACATCTTTTTCTTTCTCGAATGTCTGACTGATTGATTGATTGATCTACGATACCACGCAACGGTCTATACTGCAGTCTTATCTTGTTTTATCTTATCTTGAGCAAGAGCATGTTACGCTGTCGATGCCTATATGGTTATACAACCTAATCAAGTTTGTACATATTCATATAATCAATCAGTGGAAAAACTTGTGTGTGTGGCTACATAGACTTCGTATTCTCATCTAATGCTTCTTTTTTTTTTTTATAAGATATTATTATCTGGAGTAGCATTTTTTCTTTCTCATCTGTATTCTTCTCTATGAATACAACGTTTCAATAAAATTAGTTCAGCTGAGCATATTCTTTTTTCTTTTTCCAAAAAGAAAAGTGTTTGTTTACTTACTATCAAATAAAATTCATTGGTTTTTACTAGATAAATTTGTAAGGTTATATTATATAATCATGGAAACGATCAATCAATAACAACGATCATTATGTTGTCTTAGCACTCTCATAAACATAAAGATCAATTTTACTGAAATGTCATTTCTTCTTTGATTGTCTCTGAGAAGCGAAATCATTCTTTTTCGAGGTCTGATCTTTACTATTAAAGAAAATTTCCTCAGACCGTAAAAATCGCATACGATGTATCAAATTTCACTCAAACCTTGAGAATCTTTAGCCGGTATCAAGAGTAGGCTATAAAACTTTTTTTGCTTAAAAGTTATTGATGACTTATTCATAGGCAGGAACTCACTTGACTGGTCGTATCAGAGTCATCCGAGAGATTACCGACATTTTTTTTAAACTGATATACAAATCCCGAGTAAACATGGAGCAAGGCGATTTGAAATTTCCTCTCTGTTGGATTTTTGGCATGTATTTTAAATTGACGATAAAAAAAATGATTTGTTACAAGATGTGAGTTTCTCAGTATCACACGTAATGATTAAAAGCTGCTTAAACCAATTTGTACATTTTTGCTTAACTTGTAACAACAAAAACGTTTTGTTCGCCTGCACTGCAATATGAAGAAAAAAATATTGTGCTACGGAGGAAACTAACTGCAAAAATATGTACGAAATATATATTTTTTCGATAAACGAGCGCATGTTTGTCTATTTTTCTTTTTAAACTTCTACCTGAGATTAAACTTTCACATTACTTCTAGTCCACGTGACTAGAGCGAGAGACTAATATTAATCTTAAAAGAAACAATGTTTCTAGCGTTTATACACTCACAATAATTCATTGAGAGACGACTATAAGCAAATTGTAGCAATACCTGTCTACTATTGTGTATCTACTATGTAGAGAGTATGACAATATAATTCGAAAAAAATCTTACTAAAACCATAATCGATCTAATCGATCTAAATCGACACAGTGATATACTTGAGTAAAGCTAGTTATACTAATTTTTTAACTAATGACTATTATATGTTTTATTCCAAGGATTCTCGGCCTTCCATTGATGAACAAGTCTAAGTCCTTACCATTTTTCATTTACTTCTTATTTTATGATAGTTTTCTTCTCTCAATATTGTGTGCATGTCGATAAACATTTTCTGACTCTTTGATGATTTTATCCCATCCTTTTTTTTGTTAAATATATTTTACAGTAATAAAAGAGGCAACATGCACATACACACAAGAAATAAGAGAGGTGCTTATATCTTCATATGGGTGTTTAGAAGCACATGTTTTGCGGCTAGTTAAAACAAAAATTATCCTTGTATGTATGATTGTCTTTTTTTGTTCTTTTCTCATATGCTTTCCTCTTGTATATACTTACAAATTTTTCGTTGATACAAACTGATGTAATTTGTTTTCATTTTTTTCTTTCGTATTCGACTTGAATACCTTTTTATTGTTCACCATCACCAATACAAACGATGTTTTTATAATCTATCCTAATGAATTTCTCAAGTTTTATTCTGTTTTTTTTTTTTCTTCTTCTTCTTTTCAATTTTTCAAGATTTTTTTTGTTTTGTATTCCAGATTTTAATAATAAAAGAATGAAAAAGCAGAAAATGACAAATCTAAATGGCTTTTTTTTCTTTCATTCCCATATGATTTCAAAACCACCATCATCACTTGTCAGACAGACATGACTTGTCACTATCTTTTTTTTTTTGTTCGTTCAAAGAACCTTATAATATTCATAAAAATATAAGAGAAGTTGTAACCTTCTCTACACGCTATGCTACGGTGACATTTAAATGGATTAAAAACAATCGTTCTTCTCGAGAAATTAGTATGTCACATACTATTGAGGAGAAGAGAGTATAATCGCAGAAATCACAATTTTTTTTAGTGTTTCTGACAACTTTAATTCTAATGTCTGCCACTAGAGGCTAACGGTATACAACAGAATTACTATGATCAATATTCAATCTAAACTATTTATAATGGTCAGTATTTCAGGAAATGTTGTACGAAGTTTATGATCTCAAAATAAGAGAGTCTTCTCTACGAAACTGGTAGGGCATTTCAAGTGCCATTTGAGCGGAAAAGACGTTTTATACAATTTGAACTGCAGAAAAGATCCATTTTCATATCAAAGATAATACAAAGTCTATCAACTGATACTTTTATAAGTCCTCTTATAATCTAACCTCAAAGGAAAACTTCTAACTCGCAGAAGCAAATTTGAAAAAGTAATATCAATACAAATGCGTCGTCACAGCATTAGTTTCTATAATTTCAATTTCTGGAAAATTTCTGTTTTAAATCCGCAGACGAACACGCGAACTCTTCATAGGGATAAATATATATTAGGTATCTTTCAAAGGACGAAAATGTTGTTGAAGCAGAGTTCATTTTTGTTTTAAATGAGGGCGATATACGACTAGTTGTCATCTAGATTACTGGTTGGAAAAGGGACTTTTAACTAGATGCGTCTGCATGTACAACTAGTAATAGTTAGATCGCTCGATTATCGGGCGATACTAGTTTTTTTTTGACGCTTTGATTAAGAACACTCTAAAAAAATGTGTTCTTCAGTTCTTCAGTTTTTCAAAGAACTGAAAAGTCAACAGGAATTTTGTTCTTTATTTGTCCCAAATAGAGAACTCAAATTCTGTTCTTCAGCTCTCAAGAACTCTAAATTTGCTTTTCAATTTTTCAAAGAACGATAAAAATCATTTTTTTGAAAAGTGAAGAACAAATTTAGAGTTCTTCAGAGCTGAAGAACAGAATTTGAGTTCTCTATTTGGGACAAATAAAGAACAAAATTCCTGTTGACTTTTCAGTTCTCTGAAAAACTGAAGAACACATTTTTTTAAGAGAGAAGTTGATTTCAAAAATATAAGAAAATGATAACAGTTTGTTTTAGCGATGCTGAAGAGCTTCATCATGTATTTTTTAAGATTTCTGCTTTCTATATTGATTTTTGACCTATTTTGAATGGTAAATAATTTCTGAAAGAGCGAACATTTTTACATCTAGCTGATACGTTTTCAGAATTTTAGAGCCTACCATAATGATGATGATTGGCAAAAATCCATATAGTACCAGGTGGAGACAACAAATAGTAGTAAAATTTTCTCAGCAAAGACGACGGTTTTCAAAGCTTTGATGTCATATTAGTGATTAGCACACATGAATGCATATAGTCTATATGTTTTCATTACATATGAAGGAAAACATTTTCCTAAGATTAATGCTACATGCTTCAAAAATACGCTGTTAAGATTTCGGCGAACTAGGGTCAGACAATGTGCTTTTCATACTTTGAGGGGAAAATAATCGATTTGGTTGAATGAAAACTTTTGTTATATTATATTCTTTTTCGTCATGTTTTGCCCACCTACGTATTCTAAACGGTTTGTACTACATGCAGTTATAATATGTGCTAAAAATGACAAGAGGCAATTAATTGAGGGCGAAGTAAAAGCAATAAAACAGTTCGACTGATCTGCTTTTATCAAAAGGGGAGGTAGTAGTTGGAGAAATCGCTCTGTACATAAAGATATTCATTCTCAATTCGAAAAAAAACTATCGAGCCAGATTGAGAACGGTTAATAACCAACAAATTCATTTGAAACGCTCTCATATGAGATCAACTAGTCCCACTAGAAGCGATCAAAATCATGCCTAAAACTGATATCGATCCAATGATCATTGCACTGAGAAAAGGTGTAGTCAACGAAGGCACTATTAATATTGAAATAAATGTGTCATATCTGTCGCTTGTCATACGAACTTGAACTTTGATTTATTTTGCCAACAAAAAGAAAAAAACATTGTTGAATAGGAAAGCAGGAAAAGTGCAACCTTATAATCTAAAACCCTGTCACCTTGAATGAGTAGGAAAAAGGAAACAAAAAAGTGGTACCCAAGCATTAAAAAAAATCCATTATCGCCCGATTCATCTAGATTACTAGATTTTTACTCGATTGCAACTATTGAGTAACGACAGTGCAGATTTAGTAATTGAGCGATTGCTAGATTTCTCCTTAATGCAGCCATTGATTTATCGTCCGATAATCGATCGATCTAACTATTGCCAGTTGTACATGCAGGCGCATCTAGTTAAAAGTCCCTTTTCCAACTAGTAATCCAGATGAGAACTAGTCGTGCATTGCCCGATTACAGACAAAATGTATCTAGATTTTTCTCATAGGTGATTTTTGCTTGGGTATAATCATCATAAAAAAATTCAAAAAACTTCTAGGTACGCTTCTAGGCCTATGGCAAAAATATTGTGAAAATATTTCTGAATAATAGAATATGATAAAACCAATGAACTGTTACATTTTACATGTGTAAATGTGTTCGAAGAGCTCTTTTGAAATGTCTCACACTATGATAAGACACCACATTCTCTGATAAAGTATTCTACTCAGTCGTAGTTTTATACTGAATACTTTTATACTAAAGAGGATACAATGTGAGCTTTCGTTATAGCGGC